TTCCCAGCAGAGGGGACCCTGATAGCTCTGGGAGCTGGCGGCTTGTGGGACTGAACCTGCGACGGTACCTGGCGGGACCTGGGAGCCTCCTCTAGGCCTGACCGCACCATGTGCTGCTTCCAGCCGCACAACACAGAAATGAAGGGTGTGGGTTCTGGAGCACAGGGCTGGGAGTCAAATAAAATGGGGACTAAAAGAGCATCTCATAATTACGAGGATTGCATGAGTTAGTATGTGCACAACACTGAGCACCCCTGCTTGGAGCACTCTCCCTGGGGACTGGACACTATGCACAGCCACATCTTCAGTCCAGCAGGGGCTGCCAGTCCCCGCCAGGCTTGGGCTGAGTGCGTGGCGATGGCTGGCCTCCTTGACTCCCTGCTGCTGTTGGCTCTTCCCCGACCCATTCCTGCCTTCTCTTGCTTTTTCCTCAGTCCCTTCAACCTTCCTTGTCTTTTTTCTCCTCCTCTTTCTTTTTCCACTGTTTTTCCTCCCTTCTTTCTCTTCCTCCTCTCCTTCTCCCCCTTTCTCTTCTGCACCCCAGGAGTCTCGTGCACACTCATCTGGGCTTGGATGCAACGTCCTCAGAACCGACGCTCCAGACACACGCGGGCTGGGTGCCTTTCAGATACTGTCCCCAGCAGCAGCTTTTATCCATTTGTTCAACAGATGCTTAGCCCTGGTTTAGGCCCTGGGGCTACTGGGGTAGGTAAGACTTGAAGGTTAGTGGGGAGAGAAAGGAATAAACAAATACACAAGATGATGTGGGTGATAAATGCTGTGAAGAGAAAGGGTGGTGTGGGGAAAACTGACCGGGCCTCATGAAATTGTGACATTTGAGATGAGGCCCAGATGTCCAGGTTGCATAAGGCACCAGGCAGGGCTCTTTGTCACACATAACAGGATCCCACTCTGGATAACGTAAGCAGAAAAGGAACGCACTGGAAGGGCATCAGGTAGTTCATAGGATGGGCGGGAGGCCTGGAAAGTTAGGCCAGGATGCAGGCGGTTGCTACAGGAGGTTGGCAGCCTGAAGCTCGACCAAGGTCATGCCACAGCAGGGTCTGGTTAGGAGCCAGCGGCCACCACTCTGGATACTGGACACCATTTGGGCCTTGAACCCTGGACCCTCTAGCATGCTCCCAACAGAGGGATCTTCAAACTGGGCCTGATCACATGTCTCAGGCTATGGGTTATTCTCTACTGGGAGGTCTGTGAGAACCGGAGATTCTCGTGCAAAGGGAAAGCCCGAGTCTCTCCTTGGTCATGTCAAGCCTGCCTCTGCCTCCAGGGGCACTGGCTGCTCCCTCCGCCTGCAACACCTCCTCAGGCTCCCTCCCACACCTCCCCAAGTCTTGGTTCAAGCTACCTTCTCTTGAGGCCCACCCGACCTCTCTAGTTAAGCACAAACTCCCCTGCCCACCTAATTCCTTTACACCCATTTTTTTTTGTCACCTTCTAACATATCATTATTGTATTCACTGCTTATTGATTATCTCCCTGGTGACTGTACCCCAGGTACCATGACTTTACCCTGGACCAGTGCCTGCTGAAGTTACTACCCCAGAGCTGTTTGTTGACTGAGGGTTCAGCATGGCACACGGGTCCATGAATCCTGAGTTTGAATCTGGTTCTGTCAGTGGCCAGCTGTGTGATCCCGCACAAGTATTCCAGCCTCTGAGCCCGTTTCCCCATCTGGAATTTGGGCACCTACCTCAAATGGGTTCTTGGTGAAAAGAGACGTTCCATCCTACCCTCCAAATCTATGAAAATGACAGTCTCCCAAGTCAACATGATCCCAATATGATGTTTCCATTTACTTTGGAGTATATGTTATTATAAATATTAACAAATAAGACTTAAAAAGGACACCTTTGGGTAGGTCAAAGTACAAAAATTCTGTTGTGGGGCTGCTCTTTGAGGACGGTTTCTGCAGCCGTCACAAGGTAGCAAAACGGTGTTAAGCAGTGCACGAGAGTCTGCGTCGACGACAGCCAGAGTCCATGCAGCGGGAGGTTGACTCGGTTGGAGAAGGAACATGGGGCAGGACATGCACGGCCCGGGCTCACGGCGCGCGGGCCGGGGAGGTGCAGTTCCTCGCTCTTGCCACTAGAGGTCAGGAGGTTACCGCTTCAGGGCTGGAAGACGGGCCCGTCGGTGGGCGGGACGGAGACCAGGGGGAGGTGGACGCCGCGCCTGGGCGACCCCCTGGTTACTGACACCTGACTTTGGATGACTTTTTTTTTTTTTTTTGGCATCAGATTTTCCGTCTTTGTGGGGCTGATGGGTCAAAGGAAAGACGCCCGTTTGGGGTTAAAGGCAGAGCCGATTCTGCAGCCTCTCAAAGCGCTTTTTCTTTAAGAGATACAATCTGCACCTGGTCTAGAACAGTACCAGGATCCTGGTGACGTTCCGTCACTTCCTGGGGGGCCTTCCCGCCCGACCTCCCCACCCTGCACCTGGGCTGGCTGGCCAGAAGCCCCACCTCCCAGCCTGACCCGCCCTGTGGTCAGCTTGGACCATCTTTCAGGACCGAGCTCACATTTGCACAACCTGGGGCAGGAGAGGGCCCTGCACTGGGTGCCAGGAGGCTGGGGTTCTTGCCAGGCTGGGCCCCTTCTACTTGCTGGGCCTCAGTTTCCCCGTATGTCTAATAAGTCATCCTAGGTGGGGCCACAGCCCCTTGTCGCGCTGCCGTCTCAGCACTTCCTTATCTTCACAGAGAGGCTGTCAAGGCTCCTCTCTGGACGAGGCCCCGCAAAAGGCAAAGCTAAGAAGATACCCAGAGCTCACCCAGACACCTGGCCTCTTAAAGAGACCACCTCCCACCGTGGGCCCCCAGAGGCCCCCACTCTAACTGTGTGGAGGAGAGAGGAGCCCTTGCCTCTGCTCCCTTGACTGCAGGCTCAGAGCCTGGGAGGGGCGGCTGAGTTCCAGGGCCAGGCTGTGGGCACCTCTGGAGAAGCCCTAAGTGCACGGATGGTTTCAAAGCCAGCTAGAGGACAAGGTGGCAGGCAGTGACAAGACCCCACATCTCCATCATGCACCAGAGCTTTCCGAGCCTCCACCTAGGTTCTTTGCTGAGCCCCCAACAGCCCAGGAGGGAAGGGACTGGGGAGTACTGACCCCCAGACCATCAGAGGATGTGGCAGCCAGAGGACCTGGGTTTGCATCCTGGTTTACCCCTTCCCAGCTGTGTGGCCTTGGCGAACTACTCAGCCTCTCTGAATCTGTTTCATCTGTGAAATGGGGAGACAATCAAACCCACCTCATAGGGCTGTGAGGATTCATTAAGACAGCCCATGCAAACCCCTTAACAATGCAAAGCCTTCCTAAAGATGGGGAAAACAAGGCTGCATGAGCAAGAAAGGTGGCCAGGGGCTGTGTGGGGCTGGAGTCCTGTTTTCCCTGCGAACTGGGTGAGGGCTGATGGGCACTTGGTGGGATTTGAATCATCACCAGGGCCTCAGATGGTGATGTGCTTTGTGTCTGCAGCAGAAGGCCCACCCTCTTGCCCGAGAGCCCTGCTACTGGCATGGTTGTAGATGGGCAGCTGGAAGGGCCAGACCCAGGCAGGGCATGAGCCCAGCACCCCCTATCCCCTGATGTGTGGGTCCAGCACTCTGCTGGGCTGTTGGTGGGGCAGGGGCCATGGATCTTGGTTCCAGCTGTTCTAGGGTGGGATGGCCTCAGGCAGGTCAGCTCCCCTCTCTGGGCCTCCGTCCGCATCATGCACTGATGGGCTGAACGCAGTGGGCCCTACTTTGAAAGTCCTCGGTTCTGCATTTGTTCATCCAGCATTCCTGAGGCTCCTTGGAAAAGTCTGGGGGCTCCAAGCCTGAGCTCCAAGATTCAGATGCTCTCAAAACCTGACATGGGGGTGCAGATAGGCCTCCCAGGAAGGATTTCTATCTCTCTCTCTCAGCTCCCAGGCCTTCCTGGAAATAACACCCTGGATTGCTACTGAGTACTCCTGAAAGGGACATCTGTGGTTGCGGTAGGGCCAGGTTGTCATGGGTAATCACTTGGGGCCCCTCAGGACCCAGCCTGAACCCAGAAGGGGAGGGAGAGGGCAGGGGAGGGAGGACAAGGAGGAACGTTTGATTCTTTCCGTGTATCAGGGTCCTTTTCTCGTCTCCACTGCAGCTGACCTGAGACTTGTGCCTGAGGACCAAGGGCAGGACCCTCCCGAAAAGATCAGTGTGGGAGAGCTGGGTCAGAGGACTGAACTTGACCCAGCACCAATGTCAGTCTACAGCTTCTGCTACCCCCGCCCCTGAACCTGCTACGAGCCCCACTCCGTCCTAACAAACCCTGCCCTAGAGAGGGTCCCTGGGCCCCACACAGCTCCCAGGCCCAATCACCTTTCTGTCCCCTCCAGGCTTTGTAAACCACTCTCACTGCCCGGAAGGCTTGTCCCTTTGTGTGCACAGAACCCCCCACTCCCTCCTCAAGGCCTTGTGGAAGCACCACCTCCTCCAGGAAGCCTTCCCTACCCTCCCTGCAACCAGCAGAGTCCTGGCATTTCTCACCCCCGTTGTCATGGTTTGCATCCAGCTCCCTGGCTAGATGGAGAACTCCCTGAGGGCAGGCCCTGTGCCTCATGCACCCCCAGGGGCTTGCGGAATCGCTGAGTGAAGCACTTGCCCATTTGCCCAGGTTCATTTGTGCCATCGCCAGGCTCTCAGCTGGCAGCCCACTTCTTTTCTTCCCCCGTGGTGCCAGTGATAAAGGATGTCGTCAGGAACTTTCTTGGCTACATCTGGGAGTAAACGTTCTTCTGTGTCCCGTCCTCCGCCTGCCGCCATCTCCCCCTCTGTTCTCATGGGCCCCGCCAGGGTGCCCTGCTGTTCTATCCTCCCGGCCTGTGCCTTACTGCTGACTTCTACAAGGGTCCTTGCCCCCTGGGTGCCCCATCCCTTTCCCCAGGGGGCTGAAGGCAGTCCCAGCTCTCCACGCCCTGGTCCCTGGGTGTGGCAGGCCCTCTGTGTTCTCCGAGCGGGAGCTGCAGTGGATCTGTGTCCAAGAAGGCGTCCTGGATCTGCCCCAGTGGGGGGCCACAGCCCTTGGTGGCAGCTGAGGACGCCCAGGGCCAGCTGTGTCGGGCTCCCCGGCCGGGCAGGCGTCAGTCGCTGAGCGCGGCCCCTGGGAGCTCGTTGGTGAGCGTGTGCCAGCGCTCGATCCGCTTGTCCTTGTTCTTCAGGCAGTCAAACCAGTGCTTCAGGCGCTCGCCCTTGGCATGGATGCCCAGAACCACGCCGCCTGCGGGAGGATGGGAGGGGCAGCCAGGACACGCGGCCTCTCGCCTCCCAGATCCCGGGCTCCGACGCTGCCTGTCGCCCTGCCCACGGGGCCCTGAGCGTGGATGGCATCTGACCTCCGTGCTGCACCCTGGGCTCCCCAGATCTTCAGGCCCACCCGGCGCTTGGGGTTACAAGGGCTCAGAGTCCAGCTGAGGCGCCGACACCACCAGCTTTCACACAGACTGCTGTGGGGCCCTCCCAGGCTTCTTTCTCTCCCTGGGCCCATCCCTTCCTCTGTCCCATGTGGACAGGCAGATGAAGCCTGGGGCCCTCACATCCATGGCCCCAGCTTTTCCTAGAGGCCAGGAAGGGGCAGCTGTGGCCTGATTTAAGCCGCTGCCCTTGCTGAGCCCAGAACAGGCTCGTGGTGAACCAGCGTTCCCCTGTGCCCTCTTACCGATGAAATCGTTGGATTTTCCGATGTCGTAATCCCAAACGGTGACCTCTAGGGTCTTCTTGGCCAGGTCCCCATGTTTGATCTCATAACAGAACTCCTGCTGGCCAGAAGGGGACTGTTAGGGCCAATGCCACATGGCCTGGGACAGGGCGGGTGGCCAGGAAGGGTCTGAGGTGTGGTGAGGGTGCAGATGAGGGAGGGAGAGAGGGATGGGGTGGCACTGCGTGGCGGTGGACAACAGGTGGACTCTCACCCGTCTCGCCCACCCCTGCCTGAGAGCCAGGCCCGGGCTCAACCCACTAGCTCCTCTGTCACTGACGCTGCTCCCTGCAGATCCCGCGGAGCCTCCTTACTGCCAAACCCTCCGCACGCTTAGCGGTCCTTGCTACACTCCACCGCTCTTGGGTCTGGCTTGGCTGACCACTCTCTCCTTCGTGGACCCCTCCCTCCCGCCAGCTTCTGGGACCCTCCATCGTCTGGTCCTCACCCTCTGGGAGCATCTCCTCAGCCTCCTCTGCCTGCCCCTCAATTTCTGGGGGCCTCTGGCTCTGCCTGAGCGCCCTCTGCCCTTCTCCCCTTCTCGCTCCTCGGGGAACCCCCAGGTCTGTCTCCTGCTGCAGCCCCCCTCCTGGGCTGAGGAGCTGGGATCCACCTGCCCCGACCTTCCTTTGGCCCTAGGGCGTCTCGAACCCTTGTGCCCCACCCAGAGCTTCTCCCCATCCCTGCATCCAACATGGCCACAGTCCTGTCAATTGATCTTCTGAAGAGCTTTCCAGGCCCCCCGCATCTGCACCACTGTGGCTGGTGCACACTGGCCAGCGCCTCACCCCCACCCCCCACCCTCTCTTCCCTCCCTCCTCCTCTCACAGTGACTCAGTCCCTCCAGGCCATCCGCCCCCCACACCATTCCCAACCACCCTGGTGGGGAGAGCAAGTGGCCTTCGTGAACTTCACCAGCTGTTCGTACCTCGTTGAACTCCGGGTTCAGGGTTTTCTTCTTTACCGCTGTCTTGTGTTTGGATTTCTTGTCCACATCTGGCTTCAGGTATCTGGAATTAAAAGAGAGGGACAGGTGGAGGACCTGGAGGGGCTGTGGATGCAGACTGTGGCAGCAGGGCTCAGCAGAGCTTTGGCCCCTCTTCTGTCCTAATCCTTGGCTTTCCCCAGCACTGCTTTGTGGCAAAGGTGAGTGATTAGCTGCAGTGGGAGAAGCAAGTGGTCTATCTGTCACCTGAACGTCTGTTCATGTGCCCATTCCTGGAGATAACCACAGAGCTCTCCCATCCCCCTAGGAAGGGGATTTTCCTCCTGTCTGGAAGTCTAATTTTCCCAGAGCTCACACTTCCCACCAGAAAAACGTTTTTAGCAGATTGGTCCCTTGATCAAGCCTTTTTTCCCTTTTTGTTTGTTTTTTTTGGCAGCTGGCTGGATCAAGGATCGAACCCTGGACCTTGGTGTCATCAGCACCACACTCCAACCAACTCAGCCAACCAGCCAGCCCCAAGCCTTCCTTAAAAATAAATTTGTGGAGATGTAATTCACATACCATAAAATCTATCCTTCTAAAGTCTAAAATTCAGTGGTGTTTAGTATATTCCCAGAGTTGTGTAACAATCACTCCACCTTGTAGGAGCTTTGAGGAAGGAAAATGCCTTTGGGAGGCTTCCCTGCAGGGAGAGGGAAGCCAGCTAGATGTTCTCCCCCGCCCACCATGGGCATTAACCCCTTAGATGTAGACAAAGAACAGCTGTCTTCATCTGAAGTTCAGAGAGGTGGGGTGACTTGCCCAAGGTCACACAGCTAGCAAGCACAGGGGTGGTGCTTGGAAGTCAGGACCAGGCTCTATTCTCTATGACATGCAGGCCATGTGCTGGCTGGAGAAGGGGACAGGAAGTCCCGAATTCTCCTTTGCAGAACTTCTCACCCTGTCCCTGCATGGATAAATGTGTGACAATCCCCTTGCCCCTGCCGAGCGTGCTCTGGGGTAAAGACCGCATTGGTCTCACCTACCACCAGCTTCCTGACACCCAGCTCAAGGTCTAGCACTGGGTCAAGAAACATCTGTTGAATGAATGACTGAATTCCTGGACATGAAATCACCCGCCCAAAGGTGTGCCTCTGTCAAGCTTGTTTTGTTATGCCAAACTGCCCTCCAGAAAGGCTGTGTGGTTGACACATGGGGCCCTCACAAAGGTGAACACTAATGCTTTAAGAATCCTTGCCAGTTTGAAAGAAAATGCTATCTCATTGCTCTTTACTTTGCATTTTTAAAATTGTGACTTTTATTACATAAAAAATAGTGGTTTAGGGGCCGGCCTGGTGGCGCACTGGATAAGTGTGCCACTTGGGAAGTGCGGCGGCGCTCCCACCGAGGGTTTGGATCCCACATACAGACCGGTTCCCACTCACTGGCTGAGCGAGGCGCGGGAGCAACACCGAGGGTTGCGATCCCGTTGCCGGTCCCCGGTCCGGTACGGGGGCAACACTGAGGGTTGCGATCCGTTGCCGGACACGGAAAAAGACAAAAGACAAAAAAAAAAAAAAAATAGTGGTTTATTACAGAAACACTGTAAAGTACGTATCAACAAAACCTGGGGATAGGGAAGAGAAATAAAGGTATATGTCCATACAGAAGACTCTTCATAGCAGGTTTATGCAGTGACCCCAAACTGAAAACAACCCACATGCCCTTCAACTAGTGAAATGACCAACGACAAACTTGTGGTTTATCCACACGACAAACGACCGTTCAGCAACAAAAAAGACTAAATTACTGGTAAACGCAACCACAGGGTGAACCTCAAACGTGTCACGCTGTGTGGAAGAAGCTAGACTCCCGCGGCTTATATGCAAGTGTGGAGAAGGCAACACTACTGGGACAGAAAGCAGGTCACAGGTTGCCCGGGGCTGGGCTCCTTTTTGGGGTGATAGAAATGTTCTATATCTTGACTGTGGTGGTGGTAAGAAGGTTGTATATGGCGGTCAAACTTCCAACAGGGAGAGACATATGTAAATTACATCTCAATAAACCTGACTTTAAGAAAAAGTCTGGAGGTTTCCTTAAACCCATCCCCAGAGATGGTGAATTTCTTTAGTCCCTTACAGGTTTTCACACGCTTGCTGGCCATTTTGCTATGTACTGGTACCTTGTATGTTTCTTGGTGGGAAGAGGTGCACCGTTCCTGGAAGTACTGTGATGCCAGGTCGATGCGTGGAGTGGATGGAACAAGCTCCTGTTCCTTCTCGCTCCTCCCCAAACCCATTTAATATATTGTCCTCAGATAGAGGACGTATCAGATATTAAACTGCTAAGAACAGATACTACACTTGATCTTAGCCAAAAGGTCAAGAAGCGATTGGTATCTTGTTTTCTGTGAATTCCCCTTGGCCTGATTTGCGTTGGGTCCTGCATGGTGGGAGCGTGTCCCACCCCTGCCTTCGGGAGCCCCTTGAAGGAAGGTTGTTCTGGGGTCTCTGCCTCCTCGGCCTGGACAACTCCTGTCCACCTAGTGACCCCTCACCCGGCCATCAGCCGTGGCCCCTTCAGGTTACAGATGCAAGGGCTAGAGAAGGAGGAGGGTTGCCCAGGGTAGCACAGCAAGTAGCTTCACATTGCCTCAGTTTCCCCTGTTATGAAATAGAGATAATAACAGAAGCAACCATACGGGCCATCGGGAAGGTTATATGAGACAACCGCATAGCTCTGGCATAGGGTAATGACTCAACACATTCGTAACGATTATTACCAACACTGTTACACTGATGTTTTCCACCAGACTCTGAATAGCTGGGCCTGGGGTCTACTTCCAGCCTGGGGAAACTGAGGCAGGTGTCACCAGGAATGAGGTTTATAAAATAACGGTGCAGACAAAAGGCCTTGACCCATCTAGCTTTGTCAGCTGGACTGTCTGTTGCTCCAGGTAAGACCCTGACTTCTGGACACCCCAGCACGTGACCTGGAATTCCGTCAGCCTGGCAGGGGGGCATTGCACTTGACTGAAATATTTTACACCATTTTAGTTTCAGATTGTATTTCGTTCTGTACAAGAAATCTAGCATTACAGGTAAAAGTGCACCCTTGCCTCGGGGTGGAATTGCTGGATCACAGGGTAATTGTGTTTAACTTTTGGAGGAACCGCCAGCTGCTTTCCAAAGTGGCTGCACCATTTTCATCATATGAGTTTAAAAGTGACAGAAATGTGAGAGCTGCTGGTAGGAATGGTGCCCCAGAATGTGTCACAAAGAGCACCGGCCCCCCTGTGGTGCCAAGATGTTCCCAAGGCCTCAGTCACCTGGGCCTCCTCAGCTTCCCCACAGGCCAGGCCCATTCCTGCTTCTGTATCTTAACTCCCCTGACCCCCCCACCCTGAACGCCTCCACCTTCTTTCTGCTGAGCTAAGTTCCTCTCGGAGTCCAACCCTTCAAGAGAATCTCCCTGTGAATTCAGGCTAACATCCACTGTGTGCGAAGAGCCCACGCACAGAAGGTGGTCACTGCAGCATCTGTGTCTTTCCTCTTCAAAGGGCCACCAGCTCCTACTTGCCCCTCAGAGCTCGAAGCACAGCCTACCCTGGCCAGGTGCACAGCTAGGGGGCCCAGGTCACCTGGCACAGCCCCCCGAGTTAGCGTCTCTCCCCACACCACCAGCAGCCCCCATTGGTAAGGCTGGGTGAACCCTAATCTGCATCTGTGGCCCCAGCTTGGGGCTGGGCAGTTGCTAAGTCCCTGTGGAGTTCCTTTTTTACCTTTGCTGGACCTTCCAGCCTCTTGATTACCCTGGCCCCACTTCCTCTTGTCCCCTCCTCCAACCTGCTCACACCCCTCCTGGGACCTGAGGTCACGAAGAGGCCTGTACATGGCACCAGGAGATAATTACTCCCTATCTGCATGACCCTGGGAAGCCACGCAGCTTCCACAGGCCTCAGTTTCCCCATCTGTAAAATGGGCTGGCCATACTTAACCCCCAGAGTTGCTAAGGGAGCACAGAAGAGAACATGCCCTTGTGGACACAGCGCCGGAGTGTTCATCACCCTGGACCCCGTCCCTGGAGGCAAGGGGGGAAGCGAGCAGCTGGCCTGGGCCACACACTCACGTTTTCACGTAGGGGTCCGAGTAGCCATTGGCGTCCATGGCGGCCAGGTGTGCGCAGCGCACGATGCCCACCAGCAGGCCCTGCTTCTGCGAGCTGTACTTGAGGGAGATGAGGATACGGCCCCGCTCCTCCAGGGACTTGTCTTCTGTCTTGTCCACCTGTTGGCCGGGGCGGTCACTGGCCATCCTGACTTGCTCCCACCCCGTCCATCAGCTGCCGGCTGCCCGAGCCTGCCCACCTGCCATTGCCCCAGCTGGGCCCTACCTGGGCCCCTGTCGAGAGGTCCCAACCGCGTCCTCACAGGCCTCCCTGCCCATCGCTGCCCTCGGAGGTGGAGGCTGCCCCTCACCCTCTGCCCTGGGACCCTGCGGCCTGAGGCCAGCTGGGGGGCCAGCAACCTGCAGCCCTCGGGCCCACGTATGGAACGTGAGCTACAAGTGGCTTTGACCTTTTTGAATGGTCCATTAATAAAATTGTATTGGAACGCAGCCTTGCCCTCATTGACATCCTGTCTGTGGCTGCTCTTGCTCTGTAAGGACAGAAATGAAGAGCTGCGACAGAGTGGACGGCCTGCAGAGCTGCCCCGGCCCGGCACCGGCTCCTGCGCTGTCCCTCTTCTCGGCCTCGGCCTGGCTGTCTGCGGCCTGTAGGCTGCGGCCGCCTCACGCGTCCCCGCCTGCTCAGCACACCCGCCTCTCTCCACTGTTGGATCAGTTCCTGGTCCTTCTGGGGCTGGGCTCAGCTCAAGTGGCAGCAGCCTGGGGGGTTTCCCTGACTCTCGGGGCTGGCTGGCTGTCCCCGCTCTGTGCCCCTACTGCTCCAGGTTCCCTCCTGCTGCAGCACAGGTGGCCACCTGCTTCCTCTTGTGTCTGCCCTCGACTGTAGGTTCCTTGAAGATGGGACTCTTCTATATCATTTTTATACCCCAGGGCTGGGTGAGGGCCTGGCACTGAGGAGGTGCCCACTGAGGGCTTGTCCTAATGAAGGTGGGGACAGGGGAAAGATGGTCCTCTCTGGGATCACCCTCATGCCAGCCACCTAAGCCTGGTGGAATTCAGAGAAAGGCTAAAAGGTCTTCCCAGGCCAAAATGGAGCCTGGTGCATGGTAAGGGGTTGCCCTGGCCCCAGTCCTCCTGACAGTGCTTCCTGGAGCTCCCAGGGTGCCAGGGGCAGTCCCCTTGGGGAGAACCCAGAAGACAGAGCTTTGACACATCCCCAGCCCTGGGGGAGCTGGGAGCCAGGTGGGGAAACCGTCCAGCCCCTCCTGTGCTGCAGCAGCTGCCCAGCGCCCGCCTGTAGTGGATTAAGTCCCTCCAAAACTCACTGAAGCTTGAATTGTGTGCCCCAAGTTTTATGTATTAGAAACTCAGCCCCCACTGTGACTGTTAAAAGGGTGGGAAATCCTATTACGGTAATTGAAAGGTGGAGGCTTAAAGAGTGATTGGATTGTAGGACCAGCAGTAGTGAATGGATTAAAAATGGTGGTCAGGGGCGTGGTTCTGAGGGCTTTAAAAGGAGACAGTTTGTCTCTCTCACTGCTCTCTCTGCCTCCACCATCTTGCAATGTCACTGTCGCCACCACCAGATGGACTTTGGACTTTCCAGCCTCAGAAACTGTAAGCAATAAATTTCCTTTTCTTATAAATTACCCAGTTCCGTGTATTTTGTTACAAGCAACAGGAACAGACTAATACGCTGCCTCTGCCTCAGCCTCTGGCCACCACGTGCAGCCTGGTGCTTCTCCATTCCTGGCCCCCTGAGACCATGCATCTCTTCTTTCTGGCTGCTGCTCACCTGGAGCCCCCTCTCCTGTGCCCTCTGCCCACCCAGACACACCCAACTTGAGCCCCATGTCCCTGAGAACCCCTCCTTAGGACTCTCTGCCAGGCTCCTCTCATGCTGTCCTAGCCACGTCCCTTTGCCCACAACTGTGTTCTGCTTGGCACTAAAGTGAATCCCCACATGGCCACATCTAAACCTTTCTGGAGATGAGACTCTTGTGCAGTGAAGGAAAGGACGCCTAGCAGGGAGGACACACGCATGACCCAACTCCCATGCCCAGAGCAGATGTGGCTATTGATGTCGGCGTTCACCCTGAGCTCAGATGCAGCCCCGGCGCCCTTCTCAACACAGCACTCAGGCAGCAGGACCGGGGTATCGGGAGAGGTGTGTGAGGTTTAACTACCTGCCACTGCAGCCTAGGGCTTTGCGTGTGTGGGGCTCGCTAAACAGCGGCTCTTGCGCTAGTTTGTGTGACATGTGAAAATTAAATAGTATGAATGAATGGGGACATTTTCAGCTGTTTTTTCAGGAGTGGGATATTATACTTTGGGTTGTTTCATGTGAACTGGTCGTTGTTCAGCATTCGCTTAGAACGAATTACATTCGCAGGCTGTGGGCTCTAAAACGTGTCTGCCTGCCAGAGCGGTTATCCTGAACTGCTCTCCTGTGGTCACTGCGTGTCCTAGAGCTGAACCAGTGAGCTCGTAGCAAGTTCCAGCGAGGCCCGGCAATGCCCTGATCCTGCCCCGTGCACAAGCACACACACTCTCACAAACACACACTCACGCACGCAGACACAAGTACACTCACACATGCTCTCACACAAACGCACTTGCATGCAGACACACCCTCACACGTCAGCTCTAACACACATTCACACACACACGCACCCACACGATTGCTTATGCCAGTGACCAACACTCAGCAACACATCGACAGGAGGAGCCGATGTTGCCTTTCAAAAGTGACACGGATCATTAGGAAAAACTCGGTTACCTGTGGTTAGTGACTAATAATAACACAAAAAAGGTTATATCCATCACACAAATGTCTATGAGTGGGAGAGAACGTGACAAGGGAATGAAATTTGATCAAGTTATGCAAAAAGACAGAACTGGGATTCGGGTAGGAAGCCTGGGCAGCGGGCTGGCTTCTTCCTGGGCCTGACCTGGGCTGCGCTCACTGACAATCCACGTTCCGAGGGTCCCAGGTCCCTCTAGCCTGGGCACACTGGGAGACAGCCGCTAGGTTTATCCTCCCATGCTTCCCCTATGCTCAGGCCTCTTGGGGGACACTGTTGCTGCCCATGTCCTGAACACTGGGCAGCTGAGGGCCCAGAGTCTCTCTTGACCTGGGGCACTGGGGACTCCTGGCCAACCCCTCCCAGCCCGCTGAACTGGGTGAAGGCGGTGAAGGGAAGAGAGGGCCGGAGAGCCGAGAGGGACAAATAGAGGCGACTCTGGGAGGGCTCAGCTGTTGGCAACGGCCAGGAGCAAAATCTGTTCTGACATCATTTTCACACAATTGCAATTTCTAGGAAAGAATTATTTTCGGTCTCCTCTGGGTATCTCACAGGCACTTCAAATCTAACATGCTCCAGCTGAGCTCCTGAGCGGCCTGTCCCCCAGCTGTTCCTCCCACGGTCCCTGCATCTCAGTTAATGGAGGCTTCATCCTTCCAGTTGCTCAGGCTCCCTCGCCGGATGCCCTATCTGCTGGCACATCCTGGCAAGAATCAGGCCCTGCCGCCCTCCCCAGCCCCCCAGCACTCCTCCCCCTCCAAGCCTGGGCTATGCTCATCTCCTAACTGGTCTCTCGCCCTTTCCTCCCTCTTTTTCTGGCCTTTCTGAGCTCAGGAGACAGCAATCCTTTTGAAATGTCCTCATATACGCCACCTCTGCTTAGCACCTTCCTGTGGCCCCACGTCACTCAGGGTGAAAGCCCAAGTCCTTCCTAGCTTCCACCCGCCTGCCCTGATCTCACCTCCTCGGACTCTCCTCCCTTGCTGTCTCTGCTCCATCAATTAGCCTCATCACTGTGCCTCCAACAGGCAGGAAGTTCTGTTTCCCCAGCTCCCGCAACCATGCCCGGTTCATAGGGGGTGCTCAGTAAACCCTCTGGGCCCTGAGCTCACGGACGGGCCTGCAGAGCCGCATGGTGCAGGGAGCCCAAGGCCCACTCACTGGCAGCTGCTTCTCCAGGCAGATGCTGAACGTCTTGGTATGGTTGGGTTTCAGCTTCTTCAGGGGCACTCGTGTCTCCCCAATGAACTCGTTGTGGCGGAATTTGTCCTCATCGCACACGGAGATCCTGGAGGGCAAGGGGCATGGCCAGCACCTGAAACGCACTGAGCACTCCCAATTTGCTTCCCAAGTCAGTGGGGATTTGCAAGTGGTGGTGGTGGGGGGTCTATGTGGCAAGGCCAGAGCCTGTGGACAAGGTTGGGTGGGTAGGGGGCAGGGAGCAGGCGGCCCAGGGGGCCCTCACCCACCGCAGGGTCTTGCGGATCATGTCTTCATCTGTGATCCCATAGTAAGTGAGGGTCTCATTCCATGTGGGGTTCAGAGTGTTACGGAGAGTTTTTGTTCTGAGCTTATTTGCCTGGAGAAAGGAAAAATAATCTTATTAGCATCGAAGAGTGTAGTGGGCAGGATAATGGCACCCAGAGATGGCCACGTCCTAATCCTGGAAGCTGTGGACGTGTTATCTGACAAAAGGAGGTTGCAGATGGAATGAAGGTTGTCAATGAGCTGACTTTAAAATAGGAAGATTATCCTAGGTTATCTGGGGGGCTCAGTGAAGTCCAAGGGGTCCTTAAAAGTGGAAGAGGAGGTAAAGAGTCACAGTGAGATGTGACTCAGGAAGAAGGTAACGTGGCTGGCTCTGATGGTGGAGGAAGAGGCCGCTACATTCCTTGGCTTCCTCTCCCCTTCCAGGAGAGGGCAAGGAAATGGACTGTTCCCAGGGCCCCAGAAGGAATGCAGTCCTGCTGACACCTCGATTTCAGCCCAGTAAGACCTGTGTTGAACTAACCTGCAGACCTGTAAGATAATAAGTGTGTGTTTTACACCACTTAGTTTGTTACAGCAGCTACAGGAAGCTAATCTGAGGAGGATCTGCCTCCAGACCCTGGTGGTATGTGAGCGGGGGAATCCTACAGGGGGAAGCTGGGCTGCTGGAACCCGGCCTGGAACTGGATCCTCTCCTTCCCTGAGCATGCCCTGTGTCCACCCCTCCTTGCCTTTGCCCAGGCTGTCCCCTCTGCCTGGAATCTGCCTTCTCCTGGAGTGTGCTTGGTGGGTGGCCTGTCCCAGCTGGAATATCACCTCCACGCCTTCCTCTGGGCTTCCCTGATCGTGGTTCTCCTGCTGTTTATCTGTCCTGCCCCCATCAGACTCTGAGCTCCTCGACTGATTCACCCTGACGTCTGCCACACCCAGCCCAGGCTACGAGGTCAGACAGCCAGGGTTCAAATCCTGCACTGGGGAGCCTGGCAAGGTACTTGCCCTCTGAGTGTCAGGTTCCCCACCATAAAAACGGTGTAAGACCCCTCTCTCGACATTGTTTTCAGGAGCTTGTTCATTAGGAGACTGCTCTGTATAAAACACTCCGTGGGAGGGTCCCCCACAACTCAGCAGCCAGGTACTGCCCACTCTAGGTCCCACGAGTGTAGGGACTCATGGTCACTGAGCTCCCACACTTCCTTGGTGTGTCCTTGGTTCGCACAGCCTTGAGCCCCACATGCAGCAAGAGGACACTGAGACCCGGCATCCGGAGCCTGCTTCTTCTCCAGGCGCAGGTTGTAGGGCGCTGCCTGGGACATTATTCAAAGATGAACTGCAAGCTTGCTGCACAATCGGGCAGGGCACAGGCAGCTCAATGCTCATGACCTGGCCCACCACGAAGGGGACTCCTCTCCCAGGCCCCACTCCCTTGGCTTCTTCTCCAGGCGCAGGTGGTAGAAATGCTGCCGTTTCTCCTACAGCCCTGTTTTCTCTAGAGGAGGAGCAGTGGCCCCTTCTGGGGAGTCCCTCCTGGACTGGTGGGGAGCCCCAGCTCTACACACCTGGGCTCCAAAGTCAACTCAGGCAATTTATTCTGTCCCTTTCTAGGTGCATCTGTTGTGCTGGTGCCCTAAGCACGTGCGAGGTCTGCCTGTTGGGTCGTCTGGCATGGGAACAAGAGATCTGTGGTCAAATAAATTGGGCAGATGCTGCCCATTCCATCCTCCTTACGGACAGTCACAGAGCGACCCATTAACACATTAAAGGCTCTGATAAGTACTGCAGGAAAGAATTTAACAATGCTTCCCAATGTTATTTGATCACAGAGCCCTTTTTTTGCACATAATATTAACCAGCTGAGAATGCTTCTCATAAAATACTGGCCTGGAAATTCTCCTGCAGGCTTCCCCAACTCAGCAGGCAGGTGCTGCAGACTCACGAAGTCCCTGGGAGGCCTGGAGGGTGTCGGCTGATGCTCTGGGACGAGGTGAATGGCTGGGGTCCCAACTTGCTTGGGCTCTGTGGGGGTGTGGGGACTGTCAGCCTCCCTAGGTGCCCAAGCCCAGCGCAGGCCCCAGTCACAGGCCTGGGGTGGACGCCACTCACCTTACTGGCTCCGGGCAGCAGGTGCAGCTTGACATAGGGGTCAGCCAGCCCATTGTGGTCCATCGGCTTCAGGCCCTGGGCGGAGGAGAACAGCAGAGGGTGTGAATTTGAGATCCAGGATACAGAGCAGCCAGAGTCTCCAGGGACCTGGGTAAGCAGATGTGCCTTGTCCCCTGGGCCTCCTGGCTGGGTCCATTCATGGCCCTCTTCACAGAAGCCCCTGGCTCCACACCCCAGGATGGCTCAGTGCTGGTGCGATCTCCTCTCCCTCAAGAACCCTGGCCCAGGGCAGCTGTCACGATTCCTCTTTAGTAGAACAGCCTTCTCTTTCGATCCTCCCTGTCATGGAAGCCAGGTGACCTGCCGGTCTCTGAACGGCCCTCACGATCCTACTTTGGTCAGGCTATTCCTCTTCCTGACTCCTCTCCTCCATCTCCCAAACATGCCTCCTCCACAGCGACTTCCTTCACTGACCCTAAACCCACGTAACCCTCTGTCCCCTCATCACATGCTTCCCTGTGTGGCCATGGAAAGTGTCATGTCCTGGGAGACTGCTGCGACCAGGCTCACTTTCTCTCTGGACCTGCCAAGCTCCCAGCCTGTGTCGGTGTCCGCAGAGGTCACACGAGCTGAGCAGCTGCGGAGGGTCCCTCCACAAGGTGGCACCCCTCTCTAACTGCTTGTGGTTCCCTTTGAAGACTCAGTTGCGAGTGCAGACAATAAATGGAATGGCCAACAGAGAGGGGCTTAGCGGCCCTCATGCACGCTCTTGATTCTGGAAATTGTGCTTTTTTCTTCTGGGATGGTGCACAGGGATGTAGGGAAGGGCTGGAGCATGGTGGGGCAGGGTGGGCAACCCCGGGACATATTATTCAAAGATGAACTGCAAGCTTGCTGCACAATCGGGCAGGGGACAGGCAGCTCGATGCTCATGACCCGGTCCACCACGAGTGGGAGCCTGAGCTCCTCTCCCAGGCCCCACTCCCTTGGCTTGCAGGAGCACCCAGGTGGGGGCTGAGATTTGAGGTGGGGGCTTCCAACCACCCACTGCTCTCCTTCTGGGAAAGGGCACAGGCTTGGGAGCCAGGCTGCAGACCAGTTTCAGCTCTCAGCTCCTGTGCTTACTAGCTGGGGAAGAAAAGAGGATGAGTTCCTTTGTGCCCTAAGCCTCAGTTTTTCCATCTGTCAAAGGGGTTAACAATTCCAACTCCCCAGTCCTGGAGTGGGAGTGGAGGAGTGATACAGCTGCAGGGCTGGGCAGGTGGGCATCACTGTGCCCTGAGCTGCTGGGGTTCCAGCCCTGCCCTGCACATGGGCCAGCTCCTGGCAGGGGCTCAGCTCAGCTGGGCAGCCCTGTGTGTGCCCACAATAATGAGGCTACCCTTCCAAGCCAACTCCCTCATCCTGGACTCTCGCCCTCTCCCACAAAGTGCCTGAAGTACAGAGTGGCCCTGGGGTCACCCACCCTAAGCAGGGCTGCTACCAGCAGGGGATGTCTGAACACCTGTGTTTTATTTTTGCAATTCTTAGACATTTGTTTTTTGTAGCTTAAAATGTTTTCATTGGGTCATATTTCTCGACTTTTCACTTGCAAATCTTTGGGTCCCCAGAAGTTCTGGCACATTTATTCAGTGGCTCTGGAGGTCCCATCTCTGTACCCCTGGGATGCTGTGAGCACAGGCTGGGGCAGCGGGGCAGCTGCTGAGCTAGGATGGGGCCCCTGCTGCCACCTCTCCACCCTGCCACCTGTCAGATCCCTGAGTACCCCAGGTGGCCACATACCCCACCTGAAGTGCATGTCACTGTTCTGCCACTGACCTCCATGCCCAGATAGGGGCCTCCCTGGCCCCGATCCAGACTTCCCACCTGCAGCTTTGGCAGGCCTGAGGCTAGGCCTCCACTAGCCTTCGGGTGGGGCTGCCCTCCTGTAGAGCCTGACCTCTGTCCATGAGAGGGTCAGGGAACTGTTAAAGGGGGGGGCTCTTGGGCAGACCCTCCCAACTTCTTGAGTCTGCAAGAGACAAAAACTGATCCCATGGTTCAGGGGCTGGGTCTTCTGGGAGGGACAGGCAGAGGAAGGGCTGAGGGGAGGCCATGGCTGCTGCTGGCACTGGCGGCACAGATGGGGGGTATGGTTTTGAGAGGAAAGCCTCCCCCCAAATCCTGGCCCCTGCACCTTGCTGGGCTTCTCAGAGGCTGATGCTGGCAAAGCGTTCAGGAGAGGAGCTTTCTGGACTTGTCAAAGCAAAGTCTCAAGTGTCATTCAGCCTTAACCAGGAAGAAAATTCTGTCATATGCTACGACATGGATGAACTTGAGGACATAATGCTGAGTGAAATAAACTGCACACGAAAGGACAGATACTGCATGATTCCACTTATATGAGGCACCTGGAGCAGTGAAATTCAGACAGAAAGCAGAAGGGAGGTTGCCAGGGGCTGGGGAAGGGGAACGGGGGGAGCTGTCATTTGATGGGTACAGAGTTTCTGTTTTGTGCAGTGAAGAGAGTTCTGGAGACTGGCTGCCCAACAGTGTGAGTGTACTTAACACTACTGAACCGTACACTTAAAAATGATTCAGATGGCACATTTTTTATTTGTGTATTTTACCACAATTAAAAAAAAACAAAAGAGAGTCTCCTAGGACTGGTGGTTCTGTTGGGTTTCCACCGCTCCTCTTTGGGCGTGAACGCCTGCGTGTCTGCGTGCATGTGGGTGTGCCCGTGAGTGTGGTTGGGTGCATGTCTCCTGGCATGCCTCCAGGGCAGCACCAGGTACTGAGCACTGGTGCCCGTGTTAACTCACTCGATGCTCACAGCAACCACATGGGTGGGCGTGATTAACCCGATTTTACAGATGAACAATCTGAGACTGACCCTGGCCCAGAGGGTGGGTGGTCAAGCAAGGGTCCAGGCCTGGCACAACTGGCCTCCCCCCGCAGTGACCCTGGGAGGCTCCTCGTGCCAGCCTTGCTTTAGCACCCCCACCCTGGGGCTCCTCCCCTCACCCCACCCAGAGCCCCAGCTCTTCCCACAGCTGTGCATCCCCTTCCCTGAAGAACTGGATTTATGCAGAGAAGGAACTGGAGAACGGGAGATCTACCACGGCTCGGGGCTCCTCTCCCCCACCTCTGATGCTTTGAGGTGTACACCCCTAAGTGGACACACAGCTGTGTGTGTATGTACACGGGTACCCACATAGCTCTGTGCATGCACACACACAGAGATATGCACATAGATACCCGCATACACCCCCTGCAAGCCAGGTAGGGAAGGCGAGGCACACAGCACAGGGAGGGGCGCTGGGGTCTGGGATGGGGAGCAGAAGGGGTGGGCTCTGACCAGAGTGGCCTGGCAGCCGGAGCCCACTCCCAGTTCCCAAGTCTAGACAACTTCCACAAAGCTGGGTGATGGCGAGAAGGAGTCTACCCAGGCCCCCACCCTGGCCTCCATCTTAGCACAGCTGGAGGTCACCAGATGCTCAGCTCTGTTCCTAGGGGCAGGTATGGAGCCCCTGCAAGGCAAGGCTGGGCATGCCCTGAGTCACAGCCCAGGGAGTCCCCAGAGGAGAGGGACAGGGTGGGAATGGAGTATGCAGGCCTCTAGGTGCCCAGCCAGGGCGCCGGGACCACTGTGGACAGTGCTCACACCTGCCATGGCAGTCCAGGTGTGGTGGCCCAGGCTGGCCTGGGCTATAGCCTAGGCAGGCACCACGCAGCCTGTCCCTCTGGGTGGGTGCAGGGCCAAAGGCAGCCCCTCAGCTGGCAGGGTGGGAGGAGGGGCAGAGGGAAGCCTGCAGGCTGGGGAGGCTGGGGGTGGGGTCTGGGCCCAGGCAGCTCCGTGGAAAGCCCCTGGATCTGGGCTGGGCTGCCTCAGACCCTTCCCCAGCCCTACTAGCGGGGCTCTACTGGCCACGCAGGCCCTTACCTTGCGAGAGAACATCAGCTTTGGCACCTTATTCCCAGAGGGAGCCATGTGGTGGGGGGACGAAGGGAACAGCACGGTTCAGAATACACAGCTGACACTTGCTGACTCAAGGGGCAGAGCCACAGGCGAATGCTGGGGGCCTGGCCAGGCTACAGTAGGGTCCACAGACACCCATGACCCAGCCCAGACAGCACAGCTTGGGGCCTTTTGGGCTCAGGTCCTGAGTGCCGTCAGCCTCCTTCTGTGGCACTGGCATCCAGAGCAGGACAGTGGTGCCACCCACTCCTCAGGGAGTGTGGGGGGCCCAGGTGCTGGGAGCTTCGGGAGCTGGAGGATCAGCATCCAGCCCTCCCTCCCTCGGCCTGCAGGACAGACCATCACCTACTCACCTCTTTCCCCTCAACAGCCCCTCCCTAGGGCCTATGGGGCCTTGTCCCCTGAGAGCCCCGCCCCAACCTTCAGCCTCCCGATCTCCTCTTTTCTTTGTTCTCCTGCTCCCCCAGACTGACTAGACAGGGCTTTTTGGGGGGTGGGCAGCTGAGATGGTTTAGGCAAGAATTCCCTTCTGGCCCTGTGCCCCACACAGCACAGACACCACAAGCCAGGACAGGCAACAGAGGGGGAAGGACCCTGGAGCAGGGGCAGTGGGGGCGGCTGCTGGGGCCTACCTTGGCCTTGCTGATGGTGCAGTGCAGGGCATTGTTCTCCTGGTCGTAGAGCAGGCTGAAGTCCAGCGTGCCCAGGGCGGCTGCGGACAGAAGAGGGCATGGGTCACGCACCGGCCTCATCATGGAGAGGCTTTGCCCGTCCCTGTGTGGCCAGATGAGCCTGCCCTGGGCAGGTGCCACAGTCCCCACGGCAACTGACACCCACTGAGCACCTACTGTATGCCAAGCCCTCCACCCATCCTCCCCAACTCTGGGAAGTGACAATATTCTCCCCAGTCTCCAGATGAGGCACTGAGACTTGAAGGGTTAGGTGGGTACCCCAGTCACCGAGAGAGGGAGTCCAAGAGTCACACCCAGGTGGTCTGCCTGGAGCCTGGGCCCCTAACCCCTGCACTGCCTGTGGCTGGCCCAGCATGGTGCCCATGTGTCCCAGGTGACCAGCTAAAGGAGGTCCTGCCCTCCATGTGCAACCGCCAGTATGGGCTCCATGCCTCAGTTTCCCTTGCCTATTAAATGTCACAAGGATTGGGTGAGAAGGCAGAGGAGACAGGGCTTGGAGAGGCTGCAGGCCCCAGCCAGGCTGACAGGCTGATCCCCTCACCTGCCCCTCAGGCAACATGTGGAACTGTGGCTCCCGGATCTCTCTGGTCCCTTGGGGACCCTGGGCAGGCTGTGAAGAGCCAGTTGGGTCTCTCAAAGGCAGTGGCAGTAATTCTCAAGGGCCAGCAGATGGTGCAGCAATAATTGGGTGCAGCTTCCACCCTCAGGGGCAATCACACATAGCAGAGGGGACCTTCCAGAGTGAAGGGGCTCCCAATATGAAGGCCCAGGTGATGGTGGGAGGTAGACCTTGGGGGCAGTCCCCACAAGCAAGATGCACATTCACAGATGTATTCAGAAGCCCATTTCCTGCACCCAGGCTGCTGGGCTGGTTAACTGGTGTCTCATTCATTCATTCATTATTTACCAAGTGTTTGCAATATGACAGGCTCTAGGGATGAAGATATCTATAAGGCAGGGTCCCTGCCCTCAAGGAAAGCACAGCTTAATGGGAGGAACAGATGAAAAGAACTCGCCACCACAGAGTCTGATGAGCCTAGAGCCACTGGAGGGGGGTCCAAGGAGGGATACCTGGCTTGGATGTAAACCAGGGCCATCAGGGAAGGCTTCCTGGAGGAGGTGATGCTTTACCTGAGCCATGAGGGATGAGTGGGAGTTGGCCAGTGGCACAGTGAGGCTGGAGGAGGGGACATTCCAACCACAGGCCAACTGGCAGGTAGTGTCTAGAGTGATGCTGGGGTGAGGGAAGGGCCAGACTTGAAAGCCTCTGTTCTTCAGGCCGAGAGTTTGAATGAGACCCTCAACATGCACCCAGGCCAAACTACGATCATGCCCATCCATTTACATCTTGTCTGTGGCTGCTTTCCCACTCCAAAGGCAGAGTTGAGTAGATGCGACATGTGGCCTGCAAAGCTGAAAATATTTACTATCTGGCCCTTTACAGAAAAAGTTTGCAGACCCCTGGGCTAGTGCTGGGGCCCGGGCATGACAAAGGTTCTTGGGTCTGCAGGGAAATGGCACATTAAGGGCCATGTGGGTGGAGCTGCCTTTTATTCTAAGGCAATGATATGAGTTGTGTTTGTCTGGCCCCCAGCTCCTGGCACAGGGTGAGGCTCACATAGCGTTTCTCTGTCCTGCCAGCAGCATGGTATGGGGTGCAAGACCCGGCCTCTGACGTTGCTCTCCCAGGTTCAAACCTTTGCTTGGCAATTCCCTGCTGTGTGACCTTAGACAGCTTAGCTAGCCTCTTTGTGCCTCACTTTCCTCATCTGCAAAATGGAGACATTAGTACGTAGCTCACAGCACACGGTGCCTGGGGTATAGAAACTGCTTGGATGATAATCATAGAAGGAGCAGATCCATTTAGGTGACTTTTCTAGATAACTGTACTTGCCCCTCTGAGACCTATTATGGAATGAAAACATTCTAAACTGGATCACTTCCCTGCCTTTGGGAACAGAATACACAAATGGTCACTTACACTCTTCTGAATAATCTGAGTCATTGCGATGACTATAGTTATTCTTTTGCATGTCACAGCCACAGCCCAGACATAGAACGGGGTATTAGGCCATCCCTCCACCAGGCAGTCCTAGGTGGTCACTCTTTTTAAGGTTTTCTTCATTTTTCTGCCTCCTCCTTTGCCATCAGCTTGAAACTCCTGTTAGAGTCCCTGCCTCTGGCAGCACAACAGCTCTCTCTCCTATGCAATCGTTGTTTCTCTTATGGAACCAGGTGGTAGTACTTGTTAGAACTGTGATCAAACCAAGAGTCACTAGGCCTTGAGTAGAGCCTAAGGTGTGCTTAGTGACAGCTGTAGCCGGCCTTTTGCTGCCTGTGTCCAGGCTCCCGTCGGTGCAGGTGAGGATGCTGTAAGTGAGGTATATATGACCATTCCTGTAACAACTTACACAGCCACAGGCCCAACATTCACCAAGTCCATGCTTTTGTTATAGTATTCTCCAAAGCCGTTGGCTTTACCTGACAGTAAATCAACCTGCTCTTCGGTTCAGGCTTAGCTGTGGCTTGTTTCCCCCAGACATTAGCCTCCCAAGAGCAGGGACCACACGTTGGCCACACCCATGAGACCAGCAAAGAGCAGATGCTCAGTCCACATGGCTGGTCCATTCAAACCAACTTGCTTTCCAGGTGGTCACAGGAGCGGGGATTTGGTGTGTTGCCCACGTGTAAAAACGCACACTCCACAATTTCTGCCTGTTTCCCAGTTCCAGAGAAGGACAAGCTGGGGAGATGGAGAAGCTGCCTGCTCCCCACTGGGAAACAGCTCCAGAAGGGGAACAGAGCCCCTTCCACTGGCTCCACAGAAACCCCTGTTTCAGGAGGGCTCAGTGCTGCTCGGTGGAACACTGACACCTGTCACCACTGCCTGGGAAGGAACAGCATGCCCAGCGCTCCTCGGGATGGGACTGATGAGTTTTTTTGAACTCCAGTGGAAGTTCTGTAAGAAATAATAGTTTTTAAATAGAAGCCCGGTCACAATTTTGAGAGACTTGCTGGTGGTAAAGCTCGCTTAGGGAGTACATAGTCCAAAGTCTTCATCTCCCTTTCAGAGAAATAAGGCTCAGAGAGGGAAGGTGAGCTGGTCAGGGTGGCCCAGCAGAATCCAGGACACAGAATCCAGGCCTCTCTCCTTCCATCCTAACAGTTTCTGCCTAAAGCCTAGTGGCTCCCGAAAGGTTTTTATTTGCTGCTTTGTTTCACTGAACTATTACGAGATGCAACTAAGAAACAAAAGACAGAAGCAGAGTTGCTCTCAGGGCAGGAGAGAGGCTCGACCGCTGTTCTGGACGGGCCTCTGACTTGGGAAAGTGCTCTGGGCTGTGGTGGGGTGATGGGGGCCCTGAGGGCAGGGGAAGGTGCTTCTCTGCATGAGTCACAGGATCCTGTCCTGCCCTGCCACTCAAATCATGCCCGACTAAAGTTTACATCTTTGGAAAAATAATGAGGGTTGGTCACTAATGGGCCTTTGAGAGTTGTCACCCGCTTGTTGATAATTATAGAGCTTTAATGGGGCTAATTCAGAGAAAATTAAGCTCAAGCCCCTGTTGGTTCCTCTACGGCTGAACATCCCCTGCTCTGCTGATGGAGACTGACAGCATCGTCATGACCTTGGTTTGCACCTTGACTCTCCTGACCTGTACGCCCTTGGGAATTGAAAATCTGCTCTGATTTTCCTTTTTAAGAAAAATGTCAGCCTCTCAAATAGTTAAAACAAACAAACAAAAAACCAAGCCGTGGCCAGAACCATTGAAAATCACCAAGCCTGAGTTGAAAGGCTCACTGAGCCAGGCAGGCACTACAGGGGAGATCAAGAGAAATGAGCCATTTATCCCTGCTTCCTAGGAGCTTAGAGGCAAAGGGTTAGAACTTTCATAAATCTCTTCATTCCCTGCCTTAAATTGTTCAAAGGCTCTCCATCACCTCCCTGACTCAGTTCAACCCCCTTGGTGTGGCATTCAAGACCTTCTGTGATATGACTGCTTCGGCCTCCTCATCAGTGTCTTCCCCTTGCTTCAGCCAGTTGGCTCTATGGTTGTGCCTCTGCTGGGCTGTGTTTCCAACACCTCAGTACCTGTGCACACAGCTGTCCCTCAGCCCGGAGCACCTCCTTTCCTGCTTCCATTCTGCCAGCCTGTTTCCTCTCTCCTCCCAGCCCAGAGCACAGCCCTCTCTGTGGGTGTCCTCTGGGCGAGCCAGAGCTTCCCGTTTGGGTTCCTGCTCCCTGTCCCTCACTGCTGGGCCACTTGTTTGTCTTGGTTTTCATGCCCTGAGGTCAGAGGTCGTGTCTCAGGCATTCCGTTTCTCCGTGCTTGACCTATAGTTGCTGTTGGAATGTTGAGTGCATAAAAATAGGACAACAGGTCCAGGCAGAACATGAATGACTGAGGCCAAAAGAGGTCTGCGCTCGAAGGAAGGGGACCCACAGCCAGTGGGGACTAGGATATGCCCCCAGGCCAGGAAAGCCTTTGTGGCAGACCCAACAGCAATTCCTTCACTTTGTCCTTGTTCAGATCCCTGTGGGCATCAGACCCGACCCAGCCCCAGGGTGAATGGTACAGGGGCAGGTTTAAGCAGGGGCATGTGATGCAATTCTGGCCAATGAGACAAAAGGACAGGTTTCCTGGGAACTTCTGGGAGAGGTTTCCTTGTTCTTAAACTGAGGCATGGGGAAGGAAGCTCGTCCGTATCAAATCTAGGACCTTATTGTTACATGTGATGCCTGGACATGCAGCAGCTACCTGGGACCATGAGAGTCCTGCTTGGCTGATGGAATCTGACAACATCATTACGACCTGGGTTTGCACCTAGACTTTGTCACCTGTATGCCCTTGAGAATAGGAAATCTGCTTTGATTCTCAGCCTGAAAGGAAAAGAGCAAGGTGGATAGAAGCGTCGGCACGGGTGGTGCTGAAGTGCTGCTGTAGCAATGCACCCCGGTACCGCAGACCTCAGCTGTCCTCGTTGGCAACGCCATGTTGAGCTGGTTTTCTTT